ATATTAGACCAAAAATATATGCGTCTGCAAGCCTTTTTTATTATGGATCATTATGATTAGTAATAATCAAATAAATAAAATATTCCAGTTGTTAAAAGTAAGAAAACAAGATTTAGTTTCATGCCATATACACTGTTTGAAACATCAGTCTTGAAGATAGCTGCTACGGGAATTTCCTCTGCCGATTCAGAAACTTTCGAATAAAAGACTTTTTAACAATCTTTTCAAACAAAATTTGGCTACTGTTACAGCATTTTGGGGTGTAAGTGTGAGTATTGTTTACTGACTAATACTCGCACCTACACCCACACCCACACACCCTCATGTAGTCGGGCGCGAGTTTTTTTTACTTGACGCGCACGCATCTAAAAAGTGATTTTTGTTGTGTGATGATCTCGAAATTGGAGAGTCATAGAAGATTCGTTGAAAATTTAGGTAAGAGTTTTAAGATCAAACTTTATATATCTTTTTTCCGCTTTTAAATAAAATTTTCGCTTGTACAATAAATATGATTACAAAATGATCATTTTGAAAGAAAATCTAGTTTTTTCAAGTATAAGATAATTACAATGAAGTCATCAAACTTCGATAGCCAATAGTGTTCTATTATATATATATAATTAAAGACGATGAGTAATATAGATAAAATACGAATACAGACTCATCTAACATAATAGATATCCATTTGTGAATTAAAGTAAATTAAACTTTTGAATTTTTAGTAAAGGCTACCAAGTTACATAGTCTGTAATGGATCATTTACATAATGAGATAGGAAGGATATTTGTTATGTTTTTTTCTTTCTAACTTGAGTTTACGTATAAAAAATTCTCGTTAAGTGACGCGATGATCTACAGAACTGTAAATGATAGAAAATCCATTCAAACTAGATATGACAGTTTCAAGATCGAACTTGTTACTTTCTTTTTCAAATTTTCAATATTAAGTTTCGTTCGCCTAAAAATATTATTCAAAAATGATGATTTTGTAAGAGTTTTATCGTTAGAAAGTTTCAAGATAATAAAAGAGATGTCAGCAAGCAATAGTAGTCAATAGTCTATTTCTTCGCACCTGATCTAAGATAGTGAATCATTGAAATAATTTAATGCTCAATCAAAAGCATTCTCTAGGATTATGGTGATAATGATAATCACGAAAAAAACGTTTTCTCAGCAATGAATTCTATTATGATTATTTGAGCACTAAAAAGAAATGTAATGATTTTTTGTTTTTTTATTACAACTGCTGAAGACAGAAAAATGTGTATATTCCAAGCGAATGTGAAACTAATCATGTCAAAGCGATGTCTAATTAATTTTAAGATTGCTTGTTCCTTTTCCGTTAATTTTTTTAATTTTTTCGTGTACTCGGCTCGTGCTTCGCACCGCATTTTGTATACGAGTGAAACTCGAATACCATCTAGTTTCTATTGTTTTTGAATATTCACTTCAACAAGTATTTTTAAGTTAGAATATGTTCGCAAGAATACTGTGTATTCATTGTTTTTCATAATTTCAACGATGAAAAAACTGCCTGTGTGTTGCTTTTATGTAAAAAAAGATTCACAAATCCATTTAAATCTCACTACTACTCTACTTGTTTCAAAAACTTATATTCACTGTTCTATACGTCAGGAATTTTCTCTGCTCATTTTATTTCGTGTTCATGCGACAAAAAAATTATAGTATAAACTCCTAACCTTGTGTGTGCTGGATGATAGATTTTCCACACACCTATGATCAAAAGACACCCTGTATTAACTAATCTAAAGCTTCTTCTTTATCGTTTTTTGTCGACTTCTATATGAGATGAGCCCTACATTGGAGCTACTTCATATAGCCGATACATTGTTCTGTTGCTGAAATGTTCTCATCTTTATTAGGTGACGAAACTTTATGAATATAGGGTAAAATTAAAGTTTGTTTTTATTCTATTCCATTGAAATAGCCACATCATCAGTAGGATTGATTTCGAACTAACAGTTTGTAATGTATCAACGTTAGTGCCGACCCGACAAAAATTTACAACTCCTGGCTAAAACTTTCTATTCATAAAAAAATATGGAAGTTTCAGTTTTCATTCAATAGAGACAGTTTATCAGGTGGGTGTGGGTGTTGACGTTCTGGGCACCCACATCACACACACAATGATAGCGAACTTGTCTTAATCTTAAAACTATAATGTAGTTCAATATTTACAATCTATATATGAATAAGTATGTGAATGATGAAACGTTGAAATTGAAATAAAATCATAAAAATGATGCACCTATCTTTTTAAAATATCGCTTGATGGTGTGGGTGTGGGAGTTAACGTTCCGGACACCCATACCCACACCCTGTTTCCTAATAACTTACCACGATCGAAAATTTGAAAGCAGTTGATGTACTACTGTTGTTGTTGTTGGAAAGAATTTTTTTCAACTCATAAGATTTAGTCGATATTTTTTTCAAATGTCTTTTTTCTTACCTTTTTTTGAAAAGCGACTTAACTCAATCCATTTCTATTTGCTTTACCACTTCTTTTCTTTTTTCAAGCATGTATACTTTGAAGAAGTATCGCGTACATAACAACAATAGGCATTCAAAGGAAGAAGAAAAAAGAAATTATTCGTTTTCGACGAAATTATTCAATTCTGAATAAACAATTTGGTACTGAATGTTTGCTGGAATGAAGACAATAGAAATTTTTAACAATGAATAGCAACAAGCAATATGGTAGAGTAATCTATTTTTTGTAAACGTATTTAGTTTTTTTGCTGACTAGGTGGAGACTTCATTCAAACGCCATTGAAACCGCCGTTCGACGAGCAACAAAGTTATTGCCTTACATTTTTTTTATGAAGCTTTTAGGCTGAGATGTAGCGTTTTCTTTCGGCACATCTATAAATCCTTAAAGTGATTTTCTAACAAAAAATGCGTTTTTCAATCAAATTTCATGAAAATACATTCGAATAACTTAAATATCATTGTGGATCTAGTGAACATAGTTTGAGATCTCTAGCAAGCCTTCAGAGGACTCCTGGAAAAATTTTGCGAGGTAAAGAAATTTTGAAACAGATTTTACAAGTCATTTCCATTTTTCCAGTGTACATTGTGCTTAACATCGATTAGAAAAATTCTTAAACATATGAAAAAATCTAAAAATAGAATAGTTCTGTGTAATAGTAACAAAAAAACGAAAAAAATCCTGTTCTTAATCAGCAATATTAACATTCGTAATTTTACGATGACTTAGAATTTTGTCTTTACATAAACCACTGAAAAACGTTGTCGATACTTCCAAATAATCTTTTCCTTCACTGTCAGCTTTTATTGTTCTTCAAAAACGTCTAAATAGCTTTAAATGAATATCTCTTTCTGTAAAGTTTTCTTTTGCTTCTTCCATTAAAGAAACTAGTGCTTGAAAAGTTTGATCGGTGTTTTTCCGGATAAACTGTTTTGAATGACACCAGAAACCTTCAATAGGATTGGTTTCACAGTGAAATTTCGGTGCAAAAATAATTTTGACACCATATTTGGCTCCTAACTTTTCAAGTTTGCTAACCTATTAATAGAAAATCAGATAAAAAGGATTATGCGCATTTTTGGTTTATGACTAGTTCAAATCAAGTTTCTCTCACATTTTTAAAAGCTGCATGTTCAGACACGACCTCTTTTAACTCAAATAATTTACAATTTTGCGGTATATGAAGATTCAATTCTTCTGCTAATTTCAATAGGCCTTTACTCTCCCCATCATCATGAGTTGGTAGCCATTAGTCGAATGAATTTTCGTCGAATGAACTTTTGGTCGAATGGAAAAAAACGATTCGTCGAATAATATTTCGTCGAATGAACTTTTGGTCGAATGGAAAAAAACGATTCGTCGAATAATATTTCGTCGAATGACGCTTCGTCGAATGATAATTCGTCGAACGACATTTGGTCGAAAAATATTAAAAATATTTCTCAAATTATTGCTTGATTTAGGAAAATAATAGTAAAGGATAGTTGCGTTGTAAGTATGAGATTCTTAGCATATACTTGCATTGTGGGTATACTCACGGTGTAACTATTTTTTATATATAATTATAGTAATAAGCTAAATCTGTCATAGTTTTTTTAATTTTAAGAGCTTGTTTGTCTTTAGTTATAATCAAACGACAAAATATATTATTTTCTTGTAGAGAAAAAATATAGAAGATTGAAATGTTTTTTATTGTTCTTGTCATTTTGAAGTAATCATACACCGTTTCGTTTAAGTAAACCATACGGTGATGTACGCAGCATATAGACACGTTTAACACGTCGATGTTTCATAATCACAGCTGTTGTGAGTGATGATATATTAGTTGTGGATCTAGGAAATGAAGTTCACAGATAAGTTTATATAATAGTGGAGGGAAATAAATACTAACGAAACATATTGTTGTTGACTATCATCGGAATTATTTGGTTCAAGTATATCTACAGTCGATGTTTGATCATCATTTATTCTAAATATATAATTATATTTCAAAATAGTGCAAATAGAGTTCTGAATAAATCAACTTCAAAAGTGTTTTTCATTTTTTCATAGTCACAGTGCAAGTATAGTTTCACTGCAGGTATAGTCACGATGAATGTTTACTCTTAAGAAGAACTATTAAAATATTGACATACTCAGCATCTAAATTTTGATATAGTTGTTCTCTCGTTTCCTGATCTTCTTCGTCTGGATCTTTAACTTCTTCATTGGCACTGAAAACATGAAGGTAAATAACACGCTAGTCAAATAAAATTCATAGAAAGTCGATGATATGCCTATCAGATAGTCGAACATCATCATTATCTGTTTTCCCCGGGTTCCATGAAACATGTTTGTTAGCCAAATTAATAACACTATTGCATCTAACCTGTGAGACATCCCAATTATCATTATCCAGTATTAACCATACTCTTAATGCTCCAAGAATTTTGCCACCTACTTTCAGAGGCTGTAAGGCTTTATAAAGAATGTGATCGATTTCCTTTTTCGTTGAAAGAACTCTGAGTTCTCGACCTAAAAATATACTTTTAATGTAAACAGAATACACCTTCTTGCTTTTTATGCCTCTTTTTGGCCCTTTTTCATTTATTACAACATTTAATAATTGTTGTTGTTCCTTTTGAATTAATTTATATACACGTCCAGATTTAAAACCATTATTTTTCAATTCCAGTTCATTTTTCCCATCCGGAATTCCTGCGTTTACTAGTGAAATAAGACGATCTTGCATGTCTATGTTGGCACATGGATATTCCTTTCCTTGATATTGTGAACTTTGCGCACAAATATTAGCAAGACCCTCTAAAATGAGAAATACATTCACAGAATAAGATTAACTTGATGATCATGAGTTAGATACCAAAGTTTTTCACTTCGTCACTGTACTTTAGCTTGAAAAACATGATGATTTAATTAAATGAGAAAAAATTGACGTACGAAAAAAAGATAAATCTAAAAAGAAAATGAAAAAAGATGATGCAAATTTTCTGTTCTAAATAAGATGAGTTTTGTTTATTTTTCATTAGAACTAAGTAGAGACAGTTTCTCTTTTGATAACTTTTCTCCTCTCGTCTTTCTTGCACTAGCTAATTCAAGTTGTTTTCTTTCCAACAACAAAATCAGCCAATAAATCTAAATGTTGTTCAAGTGGTAAACGTCCAGTTTCGTATGCCTGCTTTATTTCAGCTAATTTCTGTTCAGCCATTTTTGTGTTTTTCGAACGACTTAATTTGAAATCATGAGCTCCACCTTTCAGTTGATTTTTTCGAAATAAGAAATTAATTCCTCATTACATAAAGCATCGATTAGACGCCATATGTGTGGATGTTTTGTGATGACTCGACGTGCAAACCGTGCGTGCCATGCTAAATATGGAAAATTATGTGTAGAAATACTAGTACCATCCATCAAGGATGATTTATATACATTCACATGCATTATTCGTTCTAAACTTGAGATCATTTACATTCCACATGTTTACTCCTATTTTGTTAAACCAAAAATCTTGTACATATTGTACAAATTTTTTCATTCTTTTGGGTGCACCTAACTTGATCAATTGCAAAGCATTTTCAGTTTCATTAGGTGGTAGTAATGCAAGAGCCATAGTATACTTTGACCACTTACGTACTTTCTCTTCATCACGATACGCTACTGCTAGTCCTTCACTAACCAGGCGTCGATGAAGACTCTGGTTGAAGTGGAAAAAACATCCTTTATGCTCAGTTGTTGGTAACTATATGAAAAAAATTAAGAGTTAACTACAATTTTATATGAAAGGAAAGCATAAACTCGGATTTCATAGAGATAAAATGCATGCCTGACGTTTTACTGCTTTGATTAACGATGTTTCAAAATCTGACATCAATACAAGTGGTTCAAATTTAGTTCCCATAGAGATAGCTGCTGTTTTCAAATCTTCTATCATCTGTATGTAAGTGGACGTTTTCTTATCTCCAAGCAACGCAAATGCACATGGAAATACTAAATAGATGAATCGGAACATGAGTTTATTTGTCTACAATAGATGATATTTAATTTGATACCTTCATTTCTTCTATATCCATGAAAAGTATAAAGCTGATTAAAGATCAATGGCACTGTAGAAAATGTACCATCGCAGAAAACATAAGATGATTTAAATAACTCGTCCAGTTGTGTATTTGATGAGAATATAAGTAAGCGGCCACCGCTAACCGTAGTTTTATCATTTAAGAGAAAACGTTCGAATCCACGTGTCAATGTATACATATGTGGAATGATAAAATCTAAAGATTGTGGAATATTTGGAATACATTTATGACGTTCTCGACTAAAAGCAGCTTCTAAATTTTAAATGAAAATACGAATTGCAAAAGAAACGAATTAAGAATTTACTCATATGTTGTGGATGTGTTAATAGTTGCTGTGCCTCTGAAGATAAATTTATCTTTCTCATTTCTTGTTCAATAAGCAGAGTAACTGGTGTTAATTCTTCGCGAACACGTCGCTTAACTTGTGCTCTAAATACTCGAATCTCTTGTTTTGCAATCGAAGGAGCATGAAGATGATGAATTTCTCCTTCGATACTTATTGAATGTCCACCGGTACTAATATTTCTGGTTGTGATAAGTGTTGCGGAAAAAAGCGAGTCTCGCATCTCCAATAGTATTGTACTTTAGCCTCTTTATTTAAAGTGTAACTATATCCATTCATCATTAGAAGATCACGACCTTTTTGAGTTTTTGAAAAATTAATACTACCGACATTTTTTGTTGATTCAAGAGATTTAGTTAAAAAAATAGATACATTTGTACATGAACTAATAGTCACTGATGGATCAGAAGATACAAGTAACTCAGATTGTTGAGATGTCATCATAAATGTGTTTCTCAGATGTTTTGTTAAATTGAATGAAGATAATTCAAGAAAGATGAAATAAGATGATCTAAAAANATATATAGATGTCTCTTGCATAACGTTTTTTTATTCACATCGAACGCAATTCATAAGAAAATAGTTACATCGTAACTATACCCACAACGCAAGTGTATGCCAATGATCTCATACTTGCAATGCAACTATCCTTCACTATTATTTTCTAAATCAAGTAGTAATTTGAGAAATATTTTTAATATTTTCGACAAAACGTCATTCGACGAAAAGTCATTCGACCAAAAATTATTCGACGAGCTGACGTTCGACCAATAGTCATTCGACGATTGGCTACGTTCCCATTTTGAGTAGAATAGATGTTGTATGAATGTTGTAGAGGTCCAAACAAGCCTACTATTTTTGACCATGATCTCCTTACCATGGCCCATGAACGTTTTTATTTTACGATTTTGATGATATTTGGATGTGAAAAGCAGAATTTCTTGATAAGATAACAAGAAAACTTTACATATGGAAATGACAATACTAGTCAGTGTGTATTCATATATTACACTAGGTATCTGAAGAGAATACATGATCAGAAGACACGATATTTATAGAGAAAACTATTTTTGAATTAAAAAAATGTTTGATGAAATTTGATAGACTAAAGAATGAGAACGTATTAAGAACAAATATTTACTCGCAGTATAAGTTTGAAATGGCGAATGCTACGACTAAGTGTACTACTTACTAGAAGTAGCACTTTCCTTTTACTTTCAGAAAGGTAATGAAAGGACAGTTTTTGCTTTCTTTTTTCTAGGAAAGAATCTTTTTAAGTTTTCCTACTTTCCTATATTTTCTCTCCGAAAGGAAAGTTGTTGCTTCCTTTTTACTCGGAAGGAGGATCTTTTTTATTTTTTCTACTTTTCAATATTTTCCCTCGGAAAAGGAAGCTATGAGGAATCATGAATGATAAGTTATAAAAGCTTTTCCATTCATGTTTTCCATTTTGTCAAATGCAGCCCTAAACGATATACAGCAGACATTTTCAAATAGGGTGAGAAGTTATTATTATCTTGTTTTTATTAATAACAAAAAAAAAACAATAACTATTTCTGTTATTGCTATTTGTAACAATAAGTTTTTTTCTTATTGTTATAAATAACAATAACTTTTTTCGATAGTTATTTGTTATAAGAGACCTGGCCAAGTTCCTTGGAGTCGGCAACTCATTGGGAACTTGGAACACAAAAATCAATAAGCAAGAAACAGCGACAATAAACTAAAACATCCCAAGGGAAGTGTGCGATTCCAGGGAACTGAGGAACCCCAGGGAACTGAGGGACTCCAGAGGAGCTAATGGAACTTAGGGATTCTAGAGATTCTAGGGACGTCATGGAAGGGTGTGGGTGTGGGTGCTTTTCTTTCCCCCATAGTATCATCCAGGTCCAGACCTACACTGTAAAAAAAGAGTTTATGAAAGTGCAACGTGTCACATACCCTTTTTTTGTTTTTGAAAAAACTGATAAACCCTTTTTTTAAATCATTAACCTAAAAAACGTTTATTATCTTCGTCATATACGGAAGAAATGGTTCATGATACGCAGCACTTTCATAAACCCCTTTTTTTGTTAAATACCCTATCAAAAACTGTTTTCCGTTTATTATTCTACGGATTTCTTTTTACAGTGTAGACCCGGACCCACATCGACTCACACCCTTTGAAGTACTTTGAGGTACTTTGAGGCACTTCCAAGTAGTTCGGGATACTTTGATGTACTTTTGTACTTTGACTCCTCAAAGTACGATGTTTCTCCCTTGATTATATCTCAAAGACAAGAGGACTGATTTCTGATGACAAGAGCAAGGACTCATATGCAAAGTTTCTAAACACGCTGAGAAATGCTGATGGTTGCTTAAGGAAATAATTGTAAATGCGCATCTCTGGCCTAGAGATAATGAAACAAAATAGTCACAAGATTTTTAATCAATGCTTGTCTGCTCATTTTAGATACAAAATAGAAAAAGACTAAACTTCACCCCTTCCACTTCATTGCCGCAGAAGATCTTTGAATTTTAATCAATGTCCAAGCGCACAAAATCCTGAGACAGCGAAAGGTTTTTGAAAGATTTTTTTTAAGTTTTAAGAATCCAGAAAAGTGCTGATCCCAGCCTTTAAGATCTTCAAGTCGAAACGCTAAAATCAAATCCTATTTTTATGTAACTATACTGGTCAAAGTTGAAATTTTTCAAAAACATTTATTTTATTCAAATGAAGTGTTTTATTACTGTAACGATGAATACGACCGTTTTGGAGTTGATACGTTAAGACGAAGTGAATTGAGGTGGAGTAGCTTACCGCCACCCTCGGCGATGCTTTTTATCCGCTTCTTCACATATCCAGGCTGTAACAACTTCATACGCAATACACGTATATATAGGAGAGAGATAGGAGAAACAGGAGATATATGTATATATATATTAGAACAATGGAAAGAGAACAGAGAGAGAAGAAAGAAGAATCCTCGAAGCGTGCCATCAATATGGGCACAATTACGTTTAATGCATTGCTTCTCCAGGAAGGTCATATATTTGAGGGAAGTTTTACTTACGAAGAAAGGTCGAAAAAGTAATCAACAATGAGATTCAACAATTGGCTTCTATAAGTTATGTAACAATAGGAAGGTTTTGAAATTTATTCAATCTCAAGCTTACCATATTCACATTTTACAAACCAAAAAGATTTTTTTCTCAATAATCAGAATAGTAGCAGAAGGATTTTGTGGAATTCAAATATTCTATCGAAGAAAATAAGGAATGTCAGTTCTAAGTCTAAGTTTTGACGATTCCCCCTGTCAAATGAAGACAAGAGCAACAAAAATCCTCATTAAACACTATAGTAACTAAGTAGTTTCACAGTTCTTCAGTATTTTCATTTTTGATAGTTATGTGAGCTCTACATTTCCGCCAAAAAGGAACTGTGATAATAAGCTTCCTTGCCAAAATCAAGAAGGTGGTTGTGTATGAGATTCAAACGATGCTCAAAGTCAAACTAACATCCTTACCATCAGTAATAAAATCAATTAAAAGTTCACTAAAATAAGGATTAACATAGCTTTGATGCATTTCTAATCAAGACTAGAAGCGAGTAAAAAAAACATATGTATCTTCAATGAATTACAACACGTTACTCTTCAAAAACGAGTACTTATTTTATTTTATTGACTTAATAAATGTCTCGGTCATCAATAGATTTGTGTTGTTTGTCTTTTTTTCCATATATGTCCAACTTGAAACTTGAATTCAATTGAAAATTGAAATTTTCAATTTTCAACTTTTAAACCAATAGCATTCTGGAGAATGGTGACTCACACACATATCGCTATACGTTGAAAGTTGAAATTTTCTATTTTCAACTGAATTCAAGTTTCAAGTTTGACACTACTGTTTTTTTTGTCAAAGTAAAGAATTGGACCCGAAAAGGAAACCGAGAGCCATAATCAGCAAAGAGACTAAAAAACTATCTGCTGCTTTACTACTGAATACGTAATGACCATTTTATTTTGTCATATACTCCCGTTTATCCGAATGTATTCAATAGATTCGGAATTTTTTTCTAGAGAAATATATTCTATTGTTTATCAATCTGAAGTACAGTTTTCAGTAAACAAATTGACATTTTCAGATTTAACACTTTCGTATCTATAGAGATACACGATGTTTCTTGCTCTGATGATTCCATATATCATTGCTGCTAGCTGTATCGATGCATCGTTTGTGGGTATTATTCGCAATGCTTCTCTGATCTTATCCAATTTTAACATAACAGTGGAGGAGCCGTCATGCCAAACGTGTTTGTGTAAAATGTTTAGTTCAACTGGAAACAATTCGATTGTCTCATTGAATTGCTATGTTTATAGCAGCAACCAAATCACTTGTCAAATGTTCACTATAGACATGTATCTTAACTCTCCCGCCTTTCACATGATCGGCAATGCGAACAGTACATTCTATTTTCTACAGTTACCATCCATTCAGGAATCGACAAAAATAGTTGAAGCAGCTATATCAAGTAATTATTTTATGCATATTCTAGGAGTCTATATTTTTACATACTGTATCAAGCTGTTTGTTCTTGATAGCTCATAGATAAACTATATTATAAACAACCTATGAAAAAAAAGAAAATTCATCGATTTCTTTACAGTGCTGTGTAGGTATTTCCATAAACTTTGATGAAATCATTTAAAAGAATCGTGTTGGCAGCTATAGCTTTATTTGAAGAATATTCAAGCAGCACCCAAAACATTTTATCAGAGAATTTTCAATGGATTTATCTAGAACATTGTTGATTGATTTAATCAACAAGAGATGGGAACGTGCGAATGTATTAGTTTTCTACGAAGTCATTATTCTCCACATTAATTAAGATAGTCGTTGTTGTCAAGATTTGCGAAGACTCATTGGTATACTCAAAAAATCTGAAAGAACCATGAAAATCAAGGAAGTTAGCTAGAATCTGGAAATCTGGATTTAGAGTCCGAACTATTTATATTCTTTATTAATCGTTAAGAAAATTAAATGTTACTCATGTGATGCAGGCGAGTCTGTTTCACAACAGAAACTTGGAATTCTCTTGCAGTTTATGGATCAGTATTTATACCCTGGCATTTAGTGTAAGTGGATTTTGATGAGTCTCGTAATAAGTCGAGTTATAATTGCTAATAATTTTAACTGAAATAAATATGAATTTTTTTAACTGCGATGCTGCCTATTTTATAT